CAGTTACGAACTGATGGCGACTTCAAATTAAGCATCATTTCACCTTTACTTGCACGACTTTAGTGTTTAATACATAGAAGATTCATAAGTTCTAGGCTATACTACAAAGTCACCATAAGGTAAGTTCAAATACAGAAATAATCCTGAAAAATGAAACATGATCTACCTACATCGATGCCTAGATATTAAGGATTATTCAAGTTCGACCTGTGACTTCGATGGTAATTTTAATATTTTTGTTTACAGTAGAAAAAATTCTTTATACTCATTCCAACCATAGAGGTAATGAAAGGTAAATCCTAAAGCAAGCATACTAAATTAGAATATATATCTCTTATCAGATAGAACAACACTTAATTGTAACATCTATGTTCAATCTATTTTTCAATTTGATATTTAGTAAACAGCATATTCAATCATGACTATAAACACAGATATCCACTTCTACTCAGGGTCATGCTATTAAATTTGATAGTATATCAGCGTCTTTAATTATTACAAAATGCTTCAGATCCAGTTAACAGAAATTAACTTTAGACATTCGAGAAACTAATTTTCAGATTGCAATAATTTTGTTCATGGATTCATCCTGAACACTTACAGGTATAAGAAGAAATGCTCAACTGATTTCTATGGATTAAAACCGTTCATTGTCCTTATTCATTACACTAGCAATAGCATATAGCTAATTTACAATTAAGAAACTAAGTGACTAGGGATATTTTTTTAACTTTGAGAAATATAAAAGCTATTGAGAATACTGATTACAGTTTGAAAGGGTAATGATAACTCATCTAATTTGCATAGATCTATGAATTAAAAAATGTCAGCCAGACCTAATGTGGGAGAATCTACGACAAAACTCAGTTGCACAGAACAAAGTGATTCGATTTGAATTAAAACCCGGAATCTACAGCCAGAAGGTTAAATACTCTAGGAGTCATGAAGAAAACTTAGAGCCAACAAATGTCATTACTTAATAATATAAGGAGAAATAATGGAATAAAATGAATGGCCTGAAATTTAAGGAAATGGAAATATTTCACATTGACTAAGAGATCATAAAAGATGAACGAAAGAATAATTGATCTTACTTCTTAATGGTAACCTATATTTCTTTTCTTTGATAGTTACATGGTTTCCTACTAAGTTTTACTCCCTATTAAATAATTTGACAGGAACAATTTGGTGTATTTTGTAGTGAGACTAACTAATTCGTGTATAAATCATCCATTCATGCAACAAACTAATTTGGATTAGTTTACAACACAAATAATTTAATTAGAATGAACTGATAATTCAACTGAAACTTCTCTGGGAAACGAAACCAATAATATTTTAATGGATATGGCTTGCAGTGAGATCTCATTCATCAGTTTTACCATCAACTGCATGATTCTCCTTAGAGAGCGTTTAACTATCCATACATGATCTAGAAAAGCAAACATTATATTCACTGATCACTAGAGAATAAGATACCAGCACCATAGAAGAGAAGTTTGGCGGAAACATTATGCTATCAAAGTGAACAATGTTACATCTCAATTAAAACTGTTAGTTTTTCCAAGTAAAATTGTTTATTTTATTCTGATAAATTCAGGCAAACTGGTTCTGATCTCTTGTTAGCTTATAGTAATTTACTTCAACGTGGCTAGCAGAAGAGTCCAGGACAAGTGTTCCGTTCTATTTGGGACTCGTCAGCTGGATGTACCCGTACTCTAGTGAGTCCTCACTGGAACTCAAGCCTTATACCCTTCACTTCAAACGCCAATAAACCACTGAGGCATAAAAGCCACCACCATATGTCAACAGAGGTCAAACAATTCGATCCCGTGAAACAACGGAGAAATGCAAGTACATCAACAAAAAGGTATGGAAGCATTTGGCAAAAATCTAATGAAATTTGAAAAGGTGTAGTGTTCTCATTGATAACTATTGACATAAGCAAGGATATTCATTTACATTATTTTCCTTGGTTATTCATAAGTTGATATTAGATTCTTGATATTGACATTGTGTCCCGCTGTTTTATTTTTGATTAAATAGAACACTTTTTAATCAACAAATTAATAGTCAGCGAGAAACTAAACAAAAATTATGTTTAAGTAATCACCAACTTTTAATCTTTATCAACTTTATTGCAAGTCACCTTTGACATGATTTTTATGTTTGTCAATAATTCATAAAGCTTGTACTTTCAAACTATAAGTAACGTATTCGAAATTGGAGTATAGACTAAAAGCTAATAATAGTGAATATACTTATATCGGATAAGGTAAACTTTTCCAACTTTCTTGCTCATCTAAGCTAAAATATGCTTAGTTCTTATCATTTCACTAGACAAATTATTTGAAGATACTCAATATACAAAAGTGAAATAAATATAAATTAGTGCCAAAAAAAAATTAGCTTAGACGAATATGCGAATGAATAGAAATACTGCAAAATGTGGAATTACTGAATAATTAGTAACACAGTAAAATAAATTCATAATTATGTATATACACATATGAATAGATAAAATATGCATAAAAGAAGCTGAAAACAATGATATAAATGGTGCACACTAAAATAAATGTGTTTAAGCATTTTTTTATTTATTTCATCAACATACATACAACTAACTATAGATAAGTACGCACCGCTTAGTATAAGCGAATTGAAACGATTGACGTTGTTCACTGGATGAATTAGGACCAGTATCAGGTGAAGATGATTTTCTATTGCTAAACAAGATAAAACATTGTACATGTATATATATATATATATATATATATATATATATATGTATATATGCACACGCATTAATTCACATACAAAAAGAATGTCAAAGGTAAATAAATCTTATTTGGAGAATGATACAATGTGCCACTAGAATAATAAAAATAGAGAAAATGCATTCGGAAAATATATCAAAATTAAGTAAAGAATAATATAAGCATAGAATAGTACATGCAATATCAGACCGTATAAGGATAGAATTGACAAGGTGTATAACAATGCACCATATGTTCTATACTCATAGTCAGTAAAACCAAACGGTGATTTTAATTCCCTTTAATACTTATGACATTTAGCAAAAAGGTGTTTAATTAAGAAGAAAAGAATAAACGTGACATTAATAAACTGAAATCTTAGTATTTTAAATAAATGTAATCAGTGCCAAGTTATTTAAACAATTTCCTTACATATATTATTATCTTTCATTCACCATCTCATAGTATTTTGTAAATAAATGTAAAGTAGATTTACAAAGACTCGAAGTAAGATGAAAGGAGTCTTATATAAAAAGTTATATGAAGGTTACTGGCCTCATTAATAAAGGTGCAAAACTTGAGCATTGTGGTGGAATTAAATTCCATATTAGATTTATTTGTTCGATTTATAACACACAATATGATATAGTATTATTTACTTGATAACATTTCGAGCTCACAACCATACCAATATAATCACACAACCTTTGACATTTGATTTTTATAGTTATGCCACCTCATATGATTTCTTTTTATTGACAGTAAAATTCTCCATATCCATCCGGTATAGGTGTTGCTTCATTCGTGTTACGTGTGTTGCGTGTTGATTCGATGATCCAATGGATCCAATTAAACGGAATAATATAATCTATCAAATTCCATGAAATCACCATGAGGTGAAGTAGATAGGTCAAACTTGTCGATCGGGGCCAGTTAGAATAGCCGAACATAGGGATTTAACTAAATATTGAATGACACATCCAAATGGAATCCATAATGTAGAAGGAGACTCGGCTGTTGCAATGGATGCATCAACACACAACCACACAATAAGATGGTTAGGATAAAAATACAGTACTCTAGTGCACAATATAATTAGGTGGCGATTGAGAGAGATTGATTACCGAATCTATGTTCATCGAATCAACACACAGGCAACACATGTGACAGGAGTGAAGCAACACCTACACCATGTATGTGGAAAATCCTACTCGCAATGAGAACAAATAGTATGAGATGGGTGACAGGAGTATGAAAATCGGTTGTTGAAAGTAGTGTGATTACATTGATATGATTATGATCAATGATAATTTATGCTTGGAACGTGATTGAGTAAATGATACTGTGTCACTGTGTATTATAAATCAAATAAACAATTCTAATTTGAAATATTACTAGCCACTGTACCATGCTTGATTTTCTTTACTGAAATACGAACTCGTTGACTGGCAGTTATGTACTACTGTGGGTATCATGCTGGGACAACTCACTACTTATTACATCAGTCATATAGACACTTTTTGACAGCCATGCAAATGTTTACTGAATAGTGAAGATATTCAATTTTAAACAAAAGATATTCAACTCGTAATAAGTGGACAGTCAGTCAAGGACTTTCAGTCGTTTTCAGCTATCATTATAACTTATTAACAGAACAGTTAACAAAAAACTGAATACTATAATTCTGCCTATACAATTTAACATCACAGATCATAAGATATTTCTTACAGTGTTAAAAGTTTAAAAGTGATTTTATACATAGAAAAACGGCTAAGCACAATTGAGGAGAGACCTACCTAGATCACATCAGTAAGATAATAACTAGTGATAACTTGCATACCACCCAAAAGTCCATCGATGGCAAGAATTTATAAACGCTTTTAGACTCAAACCTAGAATTCTTAAGAAATGAGGCTTCTTGATATTGTGTCAAACTGTAGTAACTAACTCAGTGAATTGTTCGCTGTCAGAAATGCTCCTAATAATACAAAACATTTTGTCGAGCTCAAGGAGGAAAAATTATAACTCAATCAAGCAAGGCTCATTTCAGTTACTATCAAAATAAACTTAAAATGTTTAACCTGCTTAGTAAACTAAGGGAAGACATTGTGTTGGTTAAGTTTCAAAACAGTTAAGATTTCGGTATTTTACTTACTGGCTAAAAAAATGTAAAGACTATTAAGTAAGTACGTTATGCACAAAACAGAATAAAATACACATGTTTACACTTTCTTACGTACTCACTCGTTGTCCAAATGTGAGATGATCTTATTTAAACCAAGATATGTAGAAGGAAGCAATGGTCTTTCATTCTCACAGACACCAGATACATTGAATAAACTTCTAACATTAGTACTGCTTTCATTAGTGATGTGAGGATTTGCAACTACATTACTGTTAACTGTATAAGTTCCACTTGATTCTGGTATCGATTCATAGCATAGTTGTTGGGGTGTATCATTCAACGATTGGTTAGGCATATTCACTGATGAAGAATTGAGCATTAGATTGGAGGAAATATTATTAATGTTTTCCGGTTTATAAGCAGTAGTACTAGTTGTGTTAATAAAGTTGCTGCTGGATGAAATACAGTTTCCTTGTGTTGTGTATAATTGACTGTTAGAAATTCTCATAGAAACACCATAACGTTCCATACTCTTCGATCGAGTATAAGACAATGAACTGGTTAAACAATTTTGTGGCCTATTCACAGAGTATGATTTAACCAAACCAGCTGATGATGAACTGTTCATCTGACCATGTGAAAGCCAATGAAAGCTGAATAGGATTATGCAGATATAATATTATTACATTAAGAAAACTAACGTCCACAAGCAAGTATGTCACATGATTACACAGATGATGTACAACAGTAATTGAAAGCACTGCAATAGGCCATATATATAACAAAAAGCTTTTGAGGAATATATTTATACATATGTGTATGGGGAATAGACAAAGGAACAAACTGTTTATTTATTTTCATAAAAACTTAAAAAGATGATATGCTACAGTAGTGATGCAGCGAAAACAACACATATATGTAAACAACACTAAATCAAATAGGTTTGACCAGATCAAATGATGGAGTTTCACCGAGAAAGAAAAGCTAAAAAGTAAATAATAAAGGAACAGAAAACTGCATAACTTCTGATCCCAGAGTTCTCACATAACTAGTAACTTCAAATTTGAGAAAAAGATGACTAAACTCCAAAGCTCTGGCTTTTCTAATAAGGCCCAAAGTTGTTTAGTTGACAAACTAGTCACTGTAGTGAAAATATGTACAATAACATCGGGTATCGATTCATGATGGCAAGATGATCTGCTTTCGGTAAATTTTACTTCGCTCTATTTGGATCAACACATAGACCTATATAATCTATTACTTAGTAAAAAAAAATTGTGTAACTCAACCAGTTACTTATTTATACAATAGACTATGCTTCATACTTGTTGATCGAGGAGTTACGATACTGCCTGATAGAGAAAGCCGGAGGAGGTACATCTGAACTTGAAACAAAGGCCTAGTGTATATCTCATGTGCACAGAATCTGTGAAAATTAAAACTTAAAACTGTATAAATTTAGATTATCTTGTAATGCACCTTCTTAGCACTGAAATATTATCAAGTTTGAAAGAAAAAAAATTGTAAAGGTCTAAATAACCTGCTAAGTGGTCAGTATTTGCATTCATTCTCCTAAGTTTTGTCTTAACTCATGGGCAGCGACCCACAGACAATTGACATTCTGCTTCTCCCATGTCCTAAATAACAGCTCATAAATAAAGTCCATAATTCAGTCATTTATGGCTGAATAGGTCACAACTTTTGCTCTCAAATTAGTCATTAACTGGAGACTAACAAATGCACTGCTCTCCTGGATGTTTTTACTATTTGACATGGCATTTTATTTGTCTACTGTTATTATTATTTACACCCAAATTAGGCACTAATTATGCTAATACTAACACAGATCGATTTATGTAAAACTGACCATGTTTTAAGTAGACGCAACACAATAAGCTTCTTACAGTCTTATTCACAGATTCCTGAAGCACTTAATGTTTTTAATAACAGTTTACAAAATCCCTCTAAAACTTGCTGATAAGATCAAACGTGTGAAAATAAATGATCAGTTCATGATGTCATGGGATTTATTATATCTATTTACCAGCGTACTTTTATCTGAAAATAGCACTTTTTGCATGTATCCAACTGAGTAAATGAAGCATGGAAACATTTGAACATATAATCATCACTGAGTTCAGCCCTAACAGATTTTCATTTGATTACGTTGAAGAATGGTCTCCTGAAAGAAGTTATAAATCATTTCTAAATTAATTGATGTCATATAGATGGTAGGTTTATGACTGTGGACTAAGAAATGAACAGGGATAATATTATTGATGAACTTATTCGGTGGTCATACTGAACTAACTCGCCCAACAGAAAAAAAGACAAATGATAGGAACATAAGTGTTGAACTTGGGCATTGTGATAGAGTTTTATTCCGTATTACATGTTTTTAATTTCATTTATAATACACAGTGACACAGTATCATTTACTCAATCACGTTCCAAGCATAAATTATCATTGATCATAATCATATCAATGTAATCACACTACTTTCAACAACCGATTTTCATACTCCTGTCACCCATCTCATACTATTTGTTCTCATTGCGAGTAGGATTTTCCACATACATGGTGTAGGTGTTGCTTCACTCCTGTCACATGTGTTGCCTGTGTGTTGATTCGATGAACATAGATTCGGTAATCAATCTCTCTCAATCGCCACCTAATTATATTGTGCACTAGAGTACTGTATTTTTATCCTAACCATCTTATTGTGTGGTTGTGTGTTGATGCATCCATTGCAACAGCCGAGTCTCCTTCTACATTATGGATTCCATTTGGATGTGTCATTCAATATTTGGCTAAATTCTTGTTACGATGATCTAACTGACTTCGATCGGTTAGTCTGATCAACTTATTTAACCTCACAGTTGTTGCATGGGATTTGATAGATTATATCATTCCGTGTAGTTGGATGTGTTGAATCCCTAAGCCAGTCAACAGAATTTATTTCTGAGTGAGTTTGTAGGTTTAAATGCTACTCTAATTCTAGTTTTGTTGAGGATCCTACGTAAAGTTTCTGATTTACCTTATTGATTACTGAATGTTTATTCAATGAATCAACACCCAACACATGTAACAGAAGTGACGCAATGCCTATAACACAGATATAGATAATTTTACTACCAATGCGAACAAATCGTATGAGATGGGTGACAGGACTATAAAAACCGGATGTCGAAAGTAGTGTGATTACATTGATTTGATTATGAGCAATAATTTATGCTCCAGACTTCACTGAATAAATAATTCAATATCACTGTGTGCTGTATATCAAATAAACAAATTTAATATGGTAGAACCTTCTTGCTACATCTTCTCCTAATAGAAAAGTAAGACAGACCATGGAAACAGAGCTGAAGTAGTTCTTAAGCTCCATATATCTAAGCTTAAATCGATTCTGTGGTGACAATCATAAGGAATACTTTATCTTCCAATATTAAATTCGTCACGATGGATATACAACCAAGTAGGTATCAAGGTAACTGAATATGACGAAGGCTTAACTGTGAGTATTCAAATTTTGCAGAATTAACTCCTAGAAACTTGTAATTGGGTAACATATCATCGAAACAATTTTGATTTCACTTCATTCATTGAAAAAGTATTCAATACTGTGAATCTGTCAAGTTTTCTATAACCAATCTATGTGAAATGCGAAAATAAAAATAGATTTTGTCTCTTTTATGCACATTTATAGTCTATAAGCCTAAAAGACAACATAATATGATGTAGGAATTTCGTTTAAGATTTTCCATTCATTTTATTAAATGGAATGACATCTACTTAACATACTTAATCGATGACACAGCTTTCGGTTAAAGATAACTACCTCCTGAAAATCCTAAAGGAATATGTTTTCACAAGAAAGGAGTTTATATTAAAATAAGCAAAAAACATTTTTGATAGTCACCAGTTTAGATAAAAACACTGAAGATGACGATATGATTGGCAAATTGTAGACATTGTTTATAGAATGTCTATGATGCTTAGTTTTCATGTTTCTGAAGGTACATATTGCGGAGAGTGACTAAGCACAAAAATATGACATTTAGATACTTGGTTTTTAATTCTTACGGAAAAGACGTTTTTTCTTTCTTCTACTGCTTGCAGCAAAAACCAGTTGAAGAACGATGGCCGGCTTTGATATATATATATATATATATATATATATATATATATATATATATATATATATATGATTTCTTGGTGCTTCATTCTTACCATTATTTCTTCAACAGCAGTTAAATAGCTAAATTTACTTTTCCACTGATGTTGCACCTATAAGCGACGATGAATTAAAACATCATCTGGGACCAGCTAAACGGAAGTTCACAATATTCAGCTCTGTTATGGTACATATTACTGCATACTGATCATTAGTGACATGCTTCCAGATGGATATCCTGAAGTTCTAATGAGATATGACCTGTGGGGTGAATCAATCGGAAGAGAAGCGAATGATGACTGAAGACCTTAGGTGATAGTCACGCTATATTATGAAGTGACAGAAATCGGAAACGGACCACTGAATTGCGACCTCGGACCCTAGCTGGGTCGCGGGTGCATACTGCTGAGGAGTCCTATACTAGGACAGAACATCTGTCCAGTGCTCCCAAGCTTTCAATAGTTCTCGAGTCTAGTATGAATACTATATACATATATATATATATATTACTCATGTCCCTGTCCACCCCAAGCAAAATATTAAGCCGTATCATTCTAGAGAGACTAAAAAATGCGCTAGATTTAAAAAAAATTACAACTGGAGTAGGCTGGCTGCCACCAGGAAGAACAAATCTGCAACGCTACGCTACGCATCATCATAGATAGAGCGTAGAATGGCAGCCAGCTGGATCTTTATCTCAACTTCGTCGACTCTGAAAAGGCCTTCAATAGCGTCGATTGAGAAGTAATTTAGCAGGCAGCTGCTTTAATGCTACACTTTTAGTGCCACAAACCTTTATCAAACTCATTCAACAGCAGCTTTATGCTATATGAGGATGCTACATATCAAGTGATTCAAAATTGAAAGCTCAGTGGTACCTTTGGAGTGAGGACAGGAATAAGACAAGACAAGGTTGCCTACTATCACCGATGGTCGTCCTGATTGTGGTCGACTCGAATCGACTAGACTGGAATGGGTCATGCTACAGACAACTGTGAGGAGCTGTGAGAAGATGGGCATACGCTGTTTAACTGATGAACAGACCACAGAAGAAAATTCGGATTTCGCCGCCGATGATGATTTGTTCCTAATGTCTAGTAGCACAAACTCAAAAATCTACAGGCCAAGACCAACAATTTGACAGAGGAGGCAGTGAAGACGGGACTGCCTTCAGGTGAACGTAGAGAAGTCAGAGGTGATGAAGATACCCAATCAACAACAACACCAAGCACTATCAACGGGAGAAGCCTAAAGAAATTTGTCTCTCTCACCATCCTACCTAGCTACCTACATACCTGTCTGCCTACCTACCTACATACCTACCTACCTACCTAACTAGACAGCATCTTCTCAACTACAGGCAGCACAGGCACAGATGACGATATCAAAGTCAGGATCGGAAAGACAGCAAGACAGACATTCCTCCATTAACTTGAAATCAGTGTGGAGATTTACTTCACTCCGCATAACACTAATTCACTCAAGTAAATCAGTCAGTCTATGTGATGGTCGAGAGACTTAACACGTCACGAAAAGCATTCCCAACAAACTACAGACATACGTTATCAACGGCTGCTACCTACACTCACTCGACAGTAAAGATCAGATGGTCAGGAAGAATAAGCAAGAAGGAGCTGTGGCTGGCTGGCTGGCAATGAACCAACGAGGCGACAACCTATCGTCCAACAAATACACAGAAGAAGGAAGTGGAGATATATGGGATTGGGCATACAATGAGAAGACCGTTCGGGGACATCATGCACCAGTCCCTCGAGTGCAAACCAAATGGGCAACGACGAGTTGGGTGTCCGACGGTGATATGGAGGAGATGGTGTGAGGAAGAAATGAAAGGTTATGGGCAATCGTGAAGCCAGGTTAGAAAGACTGGAGAGAAGAGAGTGAGATGGTGACGTGCTACTGAATCCCTATGTTTCACCAATAATCCAAGGGACAAATAATATAACAATTATATATATATATATATATATATATAAGAGAGAGAGAGAGAGAGAGAGAGAATTAGCAAGTATATAAATGAAATCCAATTGAGTGAACATTGAAATGAAAATATCTATCATGAAATAACTGATTTAGAGGCTGGGAATTATTCATTTCCGGCTTGGTAAAATTATTAGAACTTGGATTGTTAAGAGAAATGTATCAGTTGAATGATATCAGACTACATATATAATTATATTTAATTGTTAGTAAACAGGTTAAGGATAAATGGTGACGTGAAATGTATTCTTTACAATGATATATGAAAACATCTATAGCAAGATAAAACTGAAAGGAGACGGCGGAAAACAGGAAAACAGCAGAAAATATTCATATATGAAAAGTTTGTACACCAAAGTTTCAAAATAAATACAACGATTCAACAGTTAACGATTTATAGGAATAGTTTATTTGTCTAGACAACATTTTCTATCATTCTCATAAGTATCTCATTCTTATGACATTGATTTCATTAGATGGTTTAGAGAAGCAGATGTAGAGACTATTTCCGGCTTATTAACCTCGAATAAAGCTTACTGAAAGCAACATAAAGCTATGCACAGACATGTATATTATCTACAAGACGTAATAAATATCTAAAGTGTTATATGAAGATTATCTTAACATACTGCATGTGACAAAGACACAGTGTAAACTAATGACTTGTATCTACATAGACCAATTAGCCATACTCTTATTGATTAGGTGTTGCAAATTATTTCCCATAGAATAGGCATAGATTTACATTAGCGTAGAACTTGGGCATTGTGATAGAGTTTTATTCCGTATTACATGTTTTTAATTTCATTTATAATACACAGTGACACAGTATCATTTACTCAATCACGTTCCAAGCATAAATTATCATTGATCATAATCATATCAATGTAATCACACTACTTTCAACAACCGATTTTCATACTCCTGTCACCCATCTCATACTATTTGTTCTCATTGCGAGTAGGATTTTCCACATACATGGTGTAGGTGTTGCTTCACTCCTGTCACATGTGTTGCCTGTGTGTTGATTCGATGAACATAGATTCGGTAATCAATCTCTCTCAATCGCCACCTAATTATATTGTGCACTAGAGTACTGTATTTTTATCCTAACCATCTTATTGTGTGGTTGTGTGTTGATGCATCCATTGCAACAGCCGAGTCTCCTTCTACATTATGGATTCCATTTGGATGTGTCATTCAATATTTGGCTAAATTCTTGTTACGATGATCTAACTGACTTCGATCGGTTAGTCTGATCAACTTATTTAACCTCACAGTTGTTGCATGGGATTTGATAGATTATATCATTCCGTGTAGTTGGATGTGTTGAATCCCTAAGCCAGTCAACAGAATTTATTTCTGAGTGAGTTTGTAGGTTTAAATGCTACTCTAATTCTAGTTTTGTTGAGGATCCTACGTAAAGTTTCTGATGTTCCTTGGTTATATGGTAACACAATAGAGGCTTCGAAATGCTTTCTGCTCATATTTTCCTTATTATTCCTATTCGTATTACTCTTATTATGGTGTTTATCATGTGTTCGTACGAATCTCTGAACAAACTTTATAGCTGTAGCTTTCTCACACTGTTCCCAGTGTCAATATTACAAGGGGTGTTATAATGCAGTGATTTCTAAGTAAACTTATCCATTACACCAGTCGGCAATTAAAGGTACACAGCTACAACGGTAAAGATATAGAGTAAAATACAACATATGCACAAGTTTACCGTGGTTTATAAAGTGCTAGAGACTTCTAATGTTTAATGATGGATTGTGGCTAGCAGTGGAGTCCACCAGGTGCAATTAATCCTATTTAAAACTCGTCAGCTGGATGTGCCCACCTCCTAGTAAGCGATGTTTTCTTTACTAAGGCTCGAACTCGGGACCAGTAGCTTCAAACGCCACAGCGTTATCCACTAAACCACCGAGTTTCGATAGCTACTTTTTTCGCGTTGGGTAGAGTTCTAATGTTGCTACTTGTATTATCCTGTCGTTGAGTAGACTGAATCGATCGATTTGTATTCGCATATGGGCTCCTACTCGGATGCCTCGATATTACCTGTGTTCGAATATATTAATGATGGATAGTGGCTAGCAGTGGAATCCAGGAGGAGGAAACAATCAATTCGGTTCATTCAAAAATGAGATTATACAAGCAACAACATTACTTCTAATGCCTGCTAACACTGTGTTTTATGACAATACAATGCTTAGTCTGCTATTCACTTTCAAATCTGTACATTAGATGTAAGTGCAAATAAGAGATATAGTTTTTATGAGGTTTTAAGGAACAAAACATTGAATGAAGTCAAAGAAAACTATAGACAAGAACAAATCACAAGTAAATTCATTTCTTTTGCTAGACTTCTCTTTTAAATTGATATTCAACCAAGCTAAATTAACTTTATTAACACCTAAAGTAGAATATGGATACTCTGGTAGGTGATAACCCTAAGTTTCTTCGTTTGTTAGATGTATCAGTTATATATATATATATATATATATATATATATATATATATATATATATATATATAATATTAATATATAGTCGTTCTACAATACTGTAAGAAAATCATACATTGATATAAGAATTAAGTACATAATTTACACATATAATCAAAATAAGAATGATACCAAATCTTTTTTAAATTTCTAGCTAGAAAATAACAGAAACAATGAGTTAAAAATTAGAAGTTCTAGTAAATCAAAACACTGAATAAATTGTGAAATATATAAGCAGAGATATTATTATAATTCCAGTCGGTACAATCGAATGTGATACAGGAAATAGTAATCACTTAGACATAATTCATAATTAACATCTTAGCTATTTCAGTGTATTGTGAAAATATATGAGTGAGCAGCCAACAGTGAACAACTTGAATCAAAAGTAAAACATCACTATACACAAATAGAGACATGTATATACATGTGTGCCCAAATCGAATTACACATATATATGGCAAAAGAAACGAAGATATGCAAAGATATTCAGTGAATGTGCCAGTATGCGTATGTGTAAATGAATGTATAACACTTACACATCAATAAGACTGGGACTAGGAAGTAATGCAATACTTCGCCAACCTTTTTCATACCTGAATTATAAATTAAAAGTAATATGATAGTTTCAAGTTTTTATTCATCGTAGACTGACATCAGTTGGAGGAACAAAGGGGACGTGGGAGCACTGGACAGCTACTTCGACCTAGTATGGGATTCCTCAGCAGTGCGCACCCACGACTCCACCAGGCATCAAACCCGTGGCCTTCAGGTTCCGCAGCCAGCGCGTTACCATTGAGCTAGCCACTGGGTCAGAATCCAATGCTCCATATTTCCGACTTCTGTTAGCTCACGATATAGCGCAACCGCTATGGAGCATTGGATTTTGACCCAGTGGCTCAATGGTGACGTGCTGGCTACGGAACCTGAAGGCCATGGGTTCGATGCCCGGTGGGGTAGTGGGTGCGCACTGCTGAGGAGTCCCATACTGGGAAGAAACAGCTGTCCACTGCCCCCAGTTTTTCTATATTCTTCCAACTGATGTCAGTCTACGATGAATAACAACTTGAAATATTCCCGAATCTCCACAACTCCCTCAAAATCTAATATGATAATACAATTTGGGAGGTTTGTGAGAATTTACTTATTGGTTTTAAGTTGGTATTCATCATGGACTGATATCAGTTGGAAAAACCTTGGAAACCTGAGAGTACTGAACAGCGCTTTCGTCCTAGTATGGGACTCTTTAACGGTGCGCACCTACGACCTCGCCAGAAATCGAGCCCAGGACCTTCAGGTTCCGTGGCCAACATATTATCATTGAAGTACTGGGTTAGAATTCAATAACTAAACTGTTAACCCTATCAAATACATACAACTACTGTCTATTGTGATGATAATATGATTCAGCAGTAACATTAAGAATAACAACATATAACAATCAAATCAAAGGTTAAACGCCTGTTCAAATAATTTATTTGGACCCTAACTTACTGTTGGTCAGAAAATAACCTTTTGATTCGATTAGGACCACCAGCAGTAATACCGACAGAAGACTTTGGATGGATATTTGCTTTCTCATCTATTGGAAAGAATAAAAGTTGTTGTCACTAAAGATAACAATAAATCAAGCAGGAAAAAGCCCAGACGAACACGTATAAAGTGTAAGGAAATTCAAAATTAGCAGCAAACATGAAAACAATAATATCAAAATACACTTTCATAGCATTTAAGGAATGTCGTAAAATGAAAATGTCGAAATATAAATGCATAGATCCGAATAAGATTTTTTACTTTAAAAATCTGTAAATTTCCTAGCGGAATAAATCCCATAGAGATGTATAACTGACGACTTTTTTCATAAAGACGACTATATGCGATGGTCTGATGGAAAGTATCAGAAGAAGAAACCTATGAGGTTATCATCAAAATATGTTAAACGTTTCTATTGAAGCTGTTTTTATGATACGTAGATAAATTGTAACTTTGAAATATCACTACGTATGAGTATAATGAATTTTAGATATCAGTTAGTGAAAGGAAAAAGCATGAGGGAAATTACCACCTGATCTGTGAACACAAGGTGAAGAAGACCCATATACTTCGATTTCAAGAAAGACTACCATCTATTTTTTCTTCAGTGTATTAAATTTTAAACGAAATCATTTTGGAAAGTGTAGACAACTTATTACTCATTAACAGGTAGATAAAATTATCATAGAATCTAGCACACAAGTGCGTCGGTTCAAGTTGGCACACTTCATAGTAGAAGTATACAAAGAATAGATGGATCGACAAAGCTGTGTGACAGAATAAACAATTTGAAGATAATGATCACTGCGAATGTTCAAGCCTTAGAAGACGTCAAACAGTGAATACATTTGCGCTACTGTGAGCGATTTTCAACTATGTCACAAAGATTCCTTAACCACTGATTCCTTTCGTCTCCAGGACCCCAACCAGGCAGTCGACATCACCCCATACGTCTAAGATAAACAGTCAAGAGATTGTATCAACTGATTCCACGTCTTGGTCTGGCCACCCTGAGCCCTCTTCCAATCTAATATAATTTACAGTAGCATTTCACGACGAAGTAGATGGTGGCTTGACACGCACAGTGCATATCCAAGCTATCTCAGTCGACTACGGTTTACGACCTTATCATTCGACTTGCCTGTCTTGCCTTATACCCTTAGCCTGACCTTAACACTGCTCATACGGTGGTTTCATTAAACGCCAGCCATTGTATGAAGACATCTATGATCAAAACTCAGTAATCGCTTCATGTCTTCTACATTTGACGGCCAGGTTTCACCGTGATACAACAGAACGGACTACAGCGTAGCATACTCTTCCTTTGATAGATAGTCGGATATCTCGCCAGTCGACACCACAGGTGTCGCAAGTTGGTAAATGCCCAACAAGTCTTCTGTATCCAAGGTGAGATTTCGTCAGCCAGCAGCTTGTTCGTACCGATGCAACTTCCCAAGTAAACCACATGGTTGACACATTCCTCCACTTGACTTTCCACCACTAAACTGGGGGTACTTGCAGCAGACCAGTCCTGGAGAGCATCAGAGAAACGTATGCAAAAAGTACACAGATTTCTGCTCAGTGCATCTGGAAGAAACTGCATTTCGTCAGTGTCTACACCCAGCAGGATAATATTGTCTGCATACTCCAGGTCAACCAGGTAACGTCCAGGTAGTAGGCCAATCACTGTGAAGTCAAACGTACCTAAGGTCATGTTCATTAAAACATCTGTGACGAAGTTAAATAGGACCGGTGACAGTGGGCATCTCTGGCGGACACCACCAGTTGTGGTCAATTGACATGAAAACCCTCCATAAGCTCTTACACAGCTGTTTGAGCTCGATTAAAGAGCTTTGATTAGCGTTATATACTTGATTGGTACTTCTTTCAGTCAGATACTGTTACAGCACCTCACAATCGACCAATTCAGATGCCACCTTCAGATCAAGAAATATGAAGACTGCTGATTGCTGATAAGACTTACTTTGTTCCAGGACATATCCAAGGGTAAAAAATCTGAATGATGCGCCCTCGTCCAGGTCTAAGACCCGCCTGGTTTTTTCGACTTTGCCGTTCTTGAGCTCCAGTTAGTCATCGGATAACTACGGACTTTAGAATCTTGGACATGATATTAGTCATACTAATTCCCCCATGGCTGTTTATTAACTCACCACTTTCCCCCCCTCCTGTAAACGACTTGAGAAATCTTGCGCAACCCCTTTTAGTTATCATTCAGCCCTTGAGTCATCAACCACAAACATTATTATTATAACGACCATTATTGTTATTTTAGCCTTCTACCACTTAAGTCCAATCTTCCTCACGGATTACAGTCTTTATATATCAAATATATATGCATCAAAAAATGTACAGTTCGAGAATGAACTCAATGAAAAGAGTCCTCTTCGCTAAAGATCTTGTTTTTGATGTCACAAAAGAAATTATAAGTTCACAGGAAGACTTCTCCTCTTTCTTATAGACTGGGGTGATCAGTGAATTACACCAGTCTGACGGCACTACCTATTGTTCTCATACACTACCCAGTACCTCCGTTACTTTGATTAACAAGTTCCCAACTTAACACCTAAAAACTTAGGGCCGAAAACTGTCAGATCCTGCTGCTCTGCGTCGTTTTAGGTCCGAGACACCCTTTTCAACTTCAAGGAGGGTTGAAGGACCGACATCTACATCCCATCCAGATTCCGGTTGGACGTCGGGGGACTGAAGCGTTAATGTGGGCCAACTGAACTATGATTGAAAGTGTTCTACCCCCCCATCCAGAGAGGTTACAGCCTTTCATACTTTTCAGTGATAGTTTCCTTAAACATCCTCTTCTTCTTCCTGGTATCCTTAATAAGCCTAAATAGTTACTGAGTGTTATCCACCTTTGTTGCCTTCTCTATCCCTCTCTCTCTTTCGCCACCCACCACTTCCCACAGTAGACGCGGAAACTCTCAGTCACTTTGCGATTAGCTTGCTTTTGCCCTTCATCGTAGTCAAAACCAGCTGGAATTAGTATTCTCTCGTCAGTCAGTTCGGATGACGCTGCAGAAGTCCTATGATGTTTGTGAACCTTCGGGTGTAGGTCACCAATTATATTTACCGGTGTTTCTGCAGCAGACTTAATATCACACCGGGTTTACTCAGGATGGCCATAGCTGTCACGTTCAGAAAAATGCTGAACATATTCCTTCATAAATACGTATTTGGTGTCCTCATGTTCCAATCGAGTATAGACAGGCTTTACCATTACCTGGTTCCTGTGACCAGTAAGGCTTGGACACAGCATGCACCAACGCACGATTGGAGTCAAAACAGGTACTTCACAGAAAACGGCAATCCTCCACTGATCCCCTATAACGACGGCCTTAGGAGACATAATCTCTTTGTGTCTATTGTTGGTCTGATTTGGGTGGATGCCGTGTGAGATAGCATCTCTCCTTATGCTTAAATTTAGTACTGGCCAAAACAAGTGACTATCGGAATAAAACTGCAACAGACGATCGCCGGTGTCAGCTTGTTGGCATGGGATTCCGTAAGTACTACCCCCAAGAAGTCTATTCAATTGGTTCAGCTTTTGTACTTGAGCGTTTAAGTAGCTTTTCATTATGACTACATCTAAACGTTTTGCTTTCTGTAGCAAAATAGCCCACTTTTTGTAGAATCCATTATTTGCATCATTCGAACAACAGTCACTCAATGTGTTGGCAGAGATCACAAGTAGGTATCGGTTGGTCTAGTGGTCCTCCGCAGTTTTATTTGATCTATTACCTCAAACAGTACACAAACGGCTGTTGACTGATTTTAGTCAAGAAGCACACTTTCTGCTCTACAACTCAATGCTATGCGTACACCAGTGAGTCCAAGAAAGTTGCCAATTAGGGATCTAGATACTCGCAGGGTGAACTCTGAAGAATCACTACTATGGCCAGATGACATTACTTAAATAACACCACTCAGATCCTGTATACGTGTCTAACAGACACAGCACAAATCTATGCTAGAGATTCCAGAGTTCTGGCGAGTGATGCTTACTGTCTGATTTGGCACAGAGTTCGGAAAGGTTTTACATAAAATCAATGTCTTGCGGGGTTCTAGGAGACTAGGAATGAGGTTCCGATAGCTTTGATAATTAGCAGTGGTTGCATAGTGAGAGGTTTGAGGTGTAAGAGGCTTGGTATTAGAATCAAGAGGTGAAGACAAATGAGGAGACAAAGTTGCGGAGGTAAGTATCTTTCGTCTTATCACTATTTAACCGACATTTCTGGCATCGTAGGACCTCGAGAAAACAAGTTTCCTAACCAATATAGCTCGTTAGGTCATTGTGCTACGCAAGTTCAATCAATAGGTCAAGGTAGCAACTATGGGTCGGGATCACTCATTAACCCAAACTGTAATATCCAGATTATAGGAAAGCATAAGAACATCTTAACCTGACTGAAATTGATAAATTCATGACAGATTAACAACGAAACAGTAACTCTAATACAAAGAGAAGTGATTATGATTACTCTCAAGTCTGAATAAAATTAGATAAACCATCTTCTAAAATACTTTATGCTTTTCTTCAGTCTTTTCTCACACAGTCAGTTTTTCTCATCAATGTACTACTGTGTTTTTGAAATCGATCATACTGGTGAAGGACTACAAATGATTAGTTATTACTCAAATTAAAATATGTGGCACAATTAGCCATATGACATCGATTAAAATCTCTCTAATTTTAGTCTTTGTTGACTTTTCTTGGAGAGTAGGTGGAGGATAAAAATTGTTTTTATTTCTGGGGGCAATTCATAGGAGGTTCTAGATTCAGGTTTCTATCAGAGTAACCATGATGATGCGTCTCTTAGCTTAATGGCCACATGGCAAAAATAATCAACGGAACCCAGTCAGCAGCAAAGAGCAAAAAACATGAAATTAGCATCTCAATAGTAGCTAATCAATTTAACATATTGTTCCATCATCTTAACCATAAGTTTCTGTCAGTTTCAGTTTATTTTTGGCCAAAATCTTTTCTGGCACTGAGATTTATGAATACATGTACAGACAAAACTAAGTGATAAATAGTATGTTTATGAAAATGCTCACCCTCTGAAAAACTTCCAGAATTCTGTGAGATTTCATTGAACTGTTGTCTAAAGGAAACCTAAAAGTATTTTACCGAAAAACATCACTCATTGACAGCAAGATAAGATATGGAAAAATAGAAATGAAGTAGAATTTCATAGCCACTTTCTGTATAGGATCAAATTATATAAAGAAAGTGGTTCTTGACCCACTCTAGTTTCTGTGTACCATAATTATTCAATAGGTTAAACTGCAGTTACTCCAGTAAGAGTTAAAATACTAGAGTTTAGATAACATTGCCTTTATTATAACAAAAACTTAGCGTTTAATAAAGGTCAAGCGTCAATGTTACAGTTACTTGCTTTACAGCTTACCATACAAATAACTTACAAAACAACATAGCAAATGAGTTTATAGAAAATTCAGCTAGTGTTTTTAGCAGTGTTGAATCAGTTTGTAGTCCAATTTGCATCTCATATTTATTGTTTTACTTTCTTCTTTTCTACAGTAGCAAGTAGTGCAATCAATCTTATGCATAATTACATGTTTGCACAACTTTGGATAGGTATTGATATTCCACAAACACAGTCACACGCGTTTGACACCGAAATACATGGAACTTTATTTAGTCCTTTTCAAGGCAATGTAATTGATTGAGAACCAAGACAAATTGTAAAAACAACAGTAACTAGAAAAGACTTTTCTGAAATCCATGTAAAGTAAAGCGTCTCAAAGAACACGGTAGAATGGGAGTAAGCTGTTTTAAGCGTGAGTTAAACGCCATCACGTTGGACAAATAAAACCATTTCTCATGGGTCCTACTCAAGATTACCATATCATTTAATCTGCGGAAAGCTCGAAACAAATAAGCAACTACCTGAACAGAGGACTGTACCGGCACTTAATTCGACGGAGTTAGACAGCCATAAACAAATTATCATGCAAAAAGAACCTTGTTTATTTGTTATGGTTTTTCAATCACTATGGACTATAACTGACTACAACCTCGCCTGGTTAACTAGTTCACTAGTTACTAGCCGGTCCTAAGCCCCAATAAAGAGAGAAGGTTAGGTATATGACTAGAAACCCTACTCCGTAAAACCGATTCAACCGCTAAAGAAACTTCACAGCACAAACAAAATATAAAAAATAATAACAAAATTATTCCTCGCTGGGATTGGAGAGGCAAAAGGACGCCGGTTGGTGATGAAGAGGTATCACACTGAAGTGCTTGGAATTCGCGAAAGCAGATGGAATGGGAGTGGACTCTCCGAACTGCCAACAGTAGAGTCAATAATCTACTCCAATATTGTCACCCAGACGACAACCACGAGCACACTGAGTTTTCAAGTAGCTATTATGATGCTCCCAAGACTATCGAAGGCTCTCATGCAGTGGGTGGGAACCAGTCTCCTCAAAAGGAAGGAAGGTCACAATCATACAAAGAAAGCTACGCTACGCTGCGTACCTAAAATAATGCAGATCAAGAGAGAGAAGAAGGAGGAATTCTACAGACAACTGCAATCAACACTGGACAAGACCTCAGTTGGCGATATCGAAATTCTAATGGGTGACATGAATGCCAAACTGGTAGCAGAGAACACAGGAAGAGAACTAATCGTGGGTCGAAAAGAGCTCGGTGAGGTGATGAAAGAGAATGGAGAATTGTTTGGAGAATTCTGTGCATTCAACGATTTGCTGATTGGAGTCAGGCAGTGTGTCCAAGCACAAGGATATCCACAAATCAGCGACATGGGTTTGGTTTCACCAGATGCCAGTTGGACACACTAAAAATCAGATCGACTTTATCTCAATGTGAAGAAAGTGGAGACGCAGCCTACTTGACACAAGTTCAAGAAGAGGAGCAGATGTAGGTTCACACCACTCACTATCTAGTACAAGGAACCTGGCTTCAAAATCAAGTTGAAAGCCTTGAAGGAAGCTGGTGATAGACCACAGTTCGAGTTCAACACTCGGAAACTGAAGGACGAAACTACAAGGGACATCTTCACGACAGCCAGCCATCAAGACAAAATGAGAGACATTGAGCAACATACCTGAAGGAACCTGCGTGGAACACTAAAACTCTTTGAAGGAGATGTGGAGAGAAACCTGCATAACTGTATTAGGCAGGAAGAAGAAAGAAGATAAGGAATGGATCTCAATGGATACATGGAAGCTGATAGAGGAGAGGAGGATGGTGAAGCAGCAGATAAACCAGTGCAAGGGTGCACAACAAAAAGGGGAACGGAATACAACGTATAAAACAGTGGACAAAGAAGTAAAGAAGAGTGTACGGAAAGACAAAAGACACTTCTACGAAACACTGGCAAGTGAAGCAGAGCGGGCTGCAGGCCGGTAGGAGAGACCTGACAACACTGTATCAAATAACCAGGTTACCATCTGGGAGGGAAGAGATCAACACACATGAAACCAATAAAAGATGATGACGGAAAGTTAATTACGAAAGAAGGGAAACAGAGGAAACGATGGGCCAACCACTTCAAGCAGCTCTTGAATCGACCACCACCACCTGCACTTCGTCCACAAATACCACCTGCAGTCCAGCCACAGAACCACAAGTGAACATAAATCCTCCAACAAAAGTGGAAGTCCTGAACGCCATAAAGCTACTGAAATGTGGGAAAGTAGCAGGACCAGATGGAATCCCACCAGAAGCACTGAAAGCAGACGCAGACACAACAGTGGACATGCTCACACCACTATTGCAGAAGGTGTAGAAGGAAGGGAAGGTACCTGCCCATTGATTGGGAGAAGGGTTACCTTGTCAAACTCCCGAAGAAAGGAGACCTCAGTGTTTGCAAGAACTGGCACGGAATCACTCTCCTGTCCACCCAGAGCAAGCAAAATATCAAGCTGCATCATCCTGGAGAGACTAAAGGATACGTTGGATTCAAAACTACGACAGGAACAGGCTGGTTGGCTGGATTCAGGAAGTACAAATCATGTGCAGACCAAATTGCAACGCTTCGCATCATCATCTGCACTCAGCATGTTGAACAAGATCCGGATTTTCAACACCAACGAACAAATCAGGAACCTATCGCCTAACAAATATGCAGGAGGAAGTGGAGATGGATTGGGCATACACGGAGAAGGCCGATCGGGGACATCAAGCGTCAGGCACTCGAGTGAAACCCCAGTGGGGAGTGACGAGTTAGGCGTCTGAGGGTGACATGGAGGAGACCGTGTGAGAAAGAAATGAGAGCCTGTGGGCTGTCGTGGAACCAGGTTCAAAAGATTTCAGAGGACAGAGCGCATTGAAGACGTGCTACTGAAGCCCTATGTTCCATTAGGAACTCAAGGGACAATCAATAAATAATAATAATAATAACTGATTTCAGTGGCGACAATGCACTAAGATCTAAGTAAAAACAGTTGAGCATACCAGCACATCTATCTGATGAATCCCAAATGGGACGAAATTCCCACGCTGAATTCCACTGCTAGCCACTGTCAACCACTGAAAAAATAACGGTTATGAATTGTCAGTGAATATTTGTAGTTCAGGTTGATGATCTTGGTTCTGTTGCGAACTCTGAGTTGGGTGCATTAATAGTGAGGCTTTCACTGTCTTCCTCGACAACATCTTCAATAGCACTAACTTCGGTATGCAGCGAGCTGTCACTATCTCTCCATGAGTGAATCAGTAATTTACCATGACGAATTGGTTTGTGATTGCTTCGTTTCACTGACTGTATAGATTTTCCTAGTGACCGGTTCTTTGCCTGATCTCTGACATTTTAGTTGTTAGTCTGTTTTTTTATTGCCTGATAGATTGGTTCTACGTTCATACATGTATTGATTGCTGAGCTACCTGAATCTTAATCTTCTAGAAATTTTGTGATATTCTTTACTTCTCATCTGCCCAGGAGTTATAAATTGTCTAAATTGAATTCATAGCTCATAGCTATTTACGTGCATTGAAATGAACGATGAAATGTAGTGAGGTTTAATGGCCCATTGGTATTCATGAAAACGAAGATGATGTAGTGTTGATCGGAATTGTTACAGTCGATTTTGTAAATGATATTTGGTTTATCCTCTTCAACTATTGCATCGTTTCCTCTCTCCTTAATATGGTTTGAGGTGAATTTGTTGATTTATGAGCCACACAAATTCGAAGTGATCTCAGTAGTCTTGTGATGACATCTGATACGTTCTTCATACGCTGCAGGATGACAGGGTCGCTGACTTTTGTGAAAGACTTTGTGGTTGAAGATCAACAATCATTAGCAAAGATGAAAAGAACTTTTTCTTGAGAAAAGATTAAATTACGAAACAAAAATTCTTCGCTATATTAGAATCCTCGCTCAAAACATAAGGGTTCAATAAGAGCACTCAACAAAAAAAATACAGAAAACAATCGTACCACTGGTTAGAGAGAAGAAACTTTACGTTTGAACAACCATTCAAGAACAGAAAATATTAGCAAAACTAAAAAATGGGAAAAATACTATAATACTCCAAGCGGACAAAAGACGCACCACTGTAGTCAAGGAGAAGGAAGCCTACATCAGAAGGCCAGGGAATCTACTCAAAGAGGAACAAATGTATCAACAACTTGAAACCAACCCTTTTTAAAAGTTCGACAACCAGATCGATAAAACCTTGAACAAGTTCGTCAGAGCAGTAGAAATAGCAAAGCAAGACAAGTGGCAGATGAAATAGAATGGACCTGTCCTTCTTCCAACTACACAAACCGGACATCCATTTAGGACCAATCGTCTTACTCACAAATAATTCAACTTACAATCTATCAAAAAAGGTTTCGAGGAAAGTGAAAAACCTTTATGTAATCGTGCAGACTGTCCACCAAACCACCGACAGAATTCTTATAAACGACCTGAGGCATTAATGGTATATTTGGATGTCACACCATTACACACAGCAATCGAAACACAACTGGCCAAAGAATATATCCATCTACTTCCCACTGAAGACAAAAGTCTTGCAGAGCGCATAAAATTATGATGTTCACGTCTGATGAGCTCATTGATCTTTGTCGGACAACACACTTCAAATTTAATGGCAAGATATATCAACAGATGAAATGAACACCAACGGGATCTCCAATACCCAGAGTGCTTGTAGAAGCAGTGATGCAAAGACTGGAAGTCATCATTTTATGCATGATCATATTCAAAATCTTGATCCATTATGTTGATGATACCTTTCTCATCATTAAAAATGATAAAATGGAAAAAGTCTACAGTCTGATCAACACTCTGTCAACGACAACAAATTTACAATCGAGAGAGAGAGTCGAACAACAAACTCCCATTACTCCATCTTTCAGTCAATGGAAACAACATCAGAATATTGGAGACTCAATTCTTCACAAAGTCAACACACACATCAAATAAATCCTCAATTAAAGTAGCAACAACACAGCAATGCACAAAATTATTCGCACACAGACTTCATTCGAAAAAGCATACTGCAGTTAAAAAACAACTTCACAGAGAGACTAACAAACCTACTTGATATCCATCCTAATCATGAATCGTTACCCATGCAAATCCATCAGAAGGTGACTATCCTATTCTATCCTATCCAATTCATCTTCAACCAGAAAGTCTTTCACAAAAGTCAGCATCCCTGTCATCCTACAGCGTATGAAGAACATATCAGATGTCATCACAAGACTACTGAGATCAATTCTAATTTGTGTGGCTCATAAATCAACAAATTCACCTCAAACCATATTAAGGAGAGAGGAAACGATGCAATAGTTGAAGAGGATAAACCAAATATCATTTACAAAATCGACTGTAACAATTCCGATCAACACTACATTGAACGAAGTTGTTGCTCTCTTCACCTTCCTTTACATGAACATCAGTTGGATATTAGAAGTCACTGCATTTCGTCTCTCATACCAAAGTGCGTTGAAAATCACGGACATGAATTCATTCTTGAAAGTGTTGAGGTGTTGGACAGTGTAAACGGAAATTGGTTGTGGGTGCGTGCAGTTGAGGATTCCCACACTAGGAGGAAACGTCTGTCCAGTACTCTCAGGTTTCAGTGCTTCCTCTCACTGATGTCAGTTCGTGAAGAATATTACCTTGGACTGAATAAAACTTCCGTAAACCAGAAATTGAGAATATCACAGACTTCTTAGAAGCTTGTCACTCAGGTCAGTCAGTGATCAATATGTGCTTAAACATAGACCTAATCTATCAACCAGTGAAAGGGACTGTAGACACCTATAGAGTGAGATGCGTGTCAGAGAACCGACTAATAGGAAGATCTATGCAACCAACGACACAACGATCAAATAAGAAAACCAATGACAAGCCAGTTCATCAGGGAAGCTACTGAATCACTCATGGAGAGAGAGAGAGATAATGACAGCTCACTTCATATTGAAGTTAGTGGTGATGAGGATGTTGTTGAAAAAGACAATGAAGGCTTCATGATTAAACAACCTAGCTCAGAGCACACAACACAACCAAGATAATTAGAGTTCGCTTCACAATGCAAAGGATACCTTTTTTTTAAGTACATCAATCAAACATCTTGGTTTGCTAAGTATTTGTTAAAATGAATGTCGAATTCTTTGCTTTCGACCATTAATTTTGTTTATAATGACTTCCACAAAGAGCCTTTTCAATCAACTTATCATGCACCAACTTGATAGGTAGTGCTAGCATAGGGATACGGTTACCTTCATCTGAGAATAACAAAAATGTAAATTCAAGCTTGAAGAATACCTTAGAGTTAACAAACCATATACATGTAGCAAAATACTTAAGCGTCTTGACCTTGCACAATGTTTATCACGAATGCATGTTTCCTAGGCTGATTTATAATGAAACCAACTAGGAATCGATATAGAATATCACATTTACCATACTGTCTTGACTAATCAGTAAGAATTACTTCAGTCTTCAGGTGAAACCATGTAGATCATCTTCTACGTATCTCGTAGTCATGCTTTTCGGAGAGAAATTAAATAATCGTAGGAAACTGTTGACAGAACAGCATAATTCAAACTTCTATATACATTCAACATAAACCTTACAGAACAAAAAATAAGTACCACGCTCCCCTACAAATCTTCTTTACTATTTTAAGTATACAAACATACTGTCGACAAGTTCTACAGGCAACTGATAACCTAGAACTTTTTACACGAAGGTAAAGCTAAATAAAGAAAAACAACTGGCTCTCCTTAACGTCTTAACCGCTTAACCATTAAAATTCAAAGTAAGCTTGTAAGTGAGGTATAATTGATTGTACCCATCATGAAAACTCAGCTCAACTCAAGTAAAGCAGTCGAATATGAAACCAATTCATTCATACAATGTTATGGAAGATAAACAAAGCATTGAAGGGAGCAAGCGGTACTTCAGAAACAGAGATGGCTACACTAGTCTAAACATAAGTATGCTGACTAACTTTTGAAGGCAGTAATCTTGTTTACATTTGGAAAAATATGAAAAAGTGACTCATAGCCCAGTGATGCCTTTAAACTCTGTATTTCATATCATTGGTTAGAAATGGGTAGTCATATATTTCCCCAAATCTAGGATTCTTTCGAAATTGCAATATTCTGACAGTAGACAGTCAACAGCAGGGACTGAAATGCATCAGTAACTTATCAGTTGCCTAAGGATATCTTTCTTTCCATGGCACTAGAAAGTAATACTGGTATTACCAATTTTAAATCCTGCTATTGGGAGAAATATTTTGAGTCCTGCTATATTGATCTACAGTTTTCATCAACCAGATCAAAGGAATATAGACCGTGGAAGGCTTTCCGCTTCTTTGACACAAATCTCATCAAAAATGTATCCCAACAAGCCTACAAAATCAAATGAATCTGACATGATGAACTAAATTCACTTTTGTATACCAGGATACATGGTCAAATTGCGCCTGAGTTGTAGGGCTTTATACAGTGTCATCACTTCGTATAGTTATCTTTGTAATAAGTCGAAAAGGTTTTAAATAGGCATCGTAAAAATATCGACACCGTGAACAAAAACTACACAAGTGAATTGATACTATCCAGGATAAATGAGTATTTGACAAAAATAAACAAAGCGATATTATTTACATTGGATGAGAGTAGTTGACCCCTGTTCGCATTCGAATACACATTTTGTGCATCACTACATCTTGTTGATATGGGTGAACCACAAAATGCGAGTGGGTTAAAAAGATTGACTCGTTCATTACTCCAACAATTTATAGAAGACAGTTTGCCGTTAACAAAATCATTTCCTTGGGCATACAACTGTGGAAGAGTTGATCGAGTACATGGTGTGGTATAAGTTCGCTGATGATAACTACTAGCATATTGTGGAGGAAGTTGACATATATTATGCATAGCAGAGGTTTTCGTATTGGCATAGAAATTTTCGAAGAAATGATAATTTTGACCGCTTACGGCAGAAGATTTGGCACATAAATTATTCTGTGCATCCTGGACCACATTTGCAGGTAATTTTAAACAATTATTGTCTGCCCGAACCATTCTTGAATGACGTAATTCGCTAAAACTAGCTGATTTAAGTTGATTGGCCTTTATGGAGAGGTGATTCTGACGATTGGGAGGCAAATTATGGTTCACACTTTCGTTCTGAAAATAGATTTCATGCCTGGGTGGTGTATAGTACAACAACCTGGATGTAGGTGGAGTCGACTGAGTGCCCGTGAGCGATTGGCACACAAAATTTGGAGAAAATTCTGGTTGAAAGGTCATACTGAATAAATTGTCATTAAATGCAACTAAAGTGAAAGGAAAAAAGCAGGTATAGAATTAATTTCCTAGGAGTAAAACCACTGATTTTAAAGTAACTCATATAACTACTCCGTGTGACTTGCTCCATCGTCTTAGCAAACGTCAGGGAGATAAAGAGCGAGCATGCTTGGTGAACACTTATCCAAGATACATCTTTTCAAATATTTCAAACAATACAGGGGAGACCAGTTGCATAGTATAACGATGACCATCGGTGGGGAATGAATACCGGTTTATTTGTTAGCGGAAGCTTTTTACAACACAAGCAAAAATTATTCACCTTGTCAAACTCAAATACTTGGCCTTCCTAAAAAAAACATATAGGATGCGTCAATAGAAATCTTCTCAACGGAGCCAAACAAAAAAGTAGTTAAAAATAAGAAATATGCGTTATTATTATTATTATTATTATTATTATTATTATTCCTTTGGGTTCCTACTGGAACATAAGGCGTCAATAGCAAATCGCCATTTCACTCTCTTCTCTCCAGTCTTTCCAACCTGGCTTCACGACTGCCTACAAGTTCTCATTTCTTCCTCACACCATCTCCTCCATGTCACCCTCGAACGCCCAACTCGTCGGTTCCCATTTGCGTTCCACTCGAGGACCTGGCCTGGTGCGTGATGTCCCCAATCGGTATTCTCAGTCTATGTCCGATCCAATCCATCTCCAACTTCTCCTTCTGCATATTTGTTAGGGGGGTAGGTTGTCGCTTCGTTGGTTCGTTGCCAGCCAGCCAGCCAGCCAGCCAGCCAGCCAGCCAGCCAGCCAGCCAGCCAGCCAGCCAGCCAGCCAGCCAGCCAGCCAGCCAGCCAGCCAGCCAGCCAGCCAGCCAGCCAGCCAGCCAGCCAGCCAGCCAGCCAGCCAGCCAGCCAGCCAGCCAGCCAGCCAGCCAGCCAGCCAGCCAGCCAGCCAGCCAGCCAGCCAGCCAGCCAGCCAGCCAGCCAGCCAGCCAGCCAGCCACAGTTTCTCCTTCCTTGTTCTTTCTGGCCATCTGATCTTCACTGTCGAGTGAGTGTAGATGGTAGCTGTTGATGATATATGTCTGCAGTTTGTTGGGAATGCTTTTCGCAACGCACCAAGTCTCTCAACCATCACATCGAATCACTGACTCACTTAACTTGAGTAAATTGGTTTTGAAAATCCGGATGTTGTTCACGCTTGATGCTGAGTGGAGTGCAGTGCAGTGCGGCAGATCCCTCCACTGATTTCAGGTCAGTGGTGGAATGTCTGTCTTACTGTCTTTCCGATCCTGACTATGGCGTTGTCATCTGTGCCACCTCCATCTGTGGTTGAAACGATGTTTTCTAGGTAGGTAGGTTAAAGAGACAACTTCATTTAGATTTCTCCCTCTGATGGTGATTGGTGCTTGTTTTTGTTGTTGTTGTTGTTGTTGGTGGTGGTCGGGCATCTTTATCACCTCTGACTTTTCTACATTCACCCGAAGGAAGTCCCGTCTTCCTTCTCTGCCCTGCCCTTCCTCGCCTCACCTCTTCTGTCAACTTGTTAGTTTTCATCTGTAGATCTTTGAGTTTGTATGACATTAGACATAAATTGTCCAAATCGTGTGGGGTTTCTCATTGGTCAAACAGCGTGTGCTATCTTGTCACCCCTCACAGTTTGTTGCATAATCTAGTCTACAACAATCGGAAACATCCTCGGTGACAGTAGGCAATCTTGTCTTATTCCTGTTCCCTGTCTTCCTTCCGAAGGAGTTACTGAGCTTTCCGTTGTGAATCACTTGACATGTAGCATGTAGCATAAAGCCGTTGAATGGGGTCGATAAAGATTTTTGGCACTGAAAGCGTATTACTGGAGCAGCTGTCTGACAAATTACCCCTCAGTCGACACTATTGAAGGCCTTCCAGAGTAGATGAAGTTGAGATAAAGATCCAGTTGACTGCCATTCTATACTCTGTTCTGTGATGATGCGTAGTGTAGCGTTTGGATTTGATCCGCACACAATTTGTTTTTCCTGAGTCCAGCCAGCCTGTTCCGGTTGTAATTTTGAATGCAGAGGATTTATTAGTCTCTCCAGTATGATGTGGCTTAGTATTTTACTTGGGGTGGAAAGGAACAGAAGCATGATTCCTCGTCAGTTCTTGTAAAGACTGAGCTCCCCCTTCTCTGGGAGTTTGAAAAGGTAGCCCTTCTTCCAGTCAGTAGGCAGGTACCTTTCCTCCCTTCCTTTCAAACCTTCTGTAGTAGTAGTGTGAGCATGTCCTCTGTTGTCTCTGTCTTGTTTTTAGTGCTCCTGGTGGAATTCCATGTCGTCCTACTACTTTCCGGATTTCAGCGACGTTATGGCGTTCAGGACTTCACTTCTGCTTAGTCGGAGGGTTTGTGTTCACTGGTAATTCTGCGGTCACTGGTGGTATTTCTGGACAAGTTGCAGGTGGTGGTCGATTCAAGAGTTTATTGAAGTGGTCAGCCCATTGTTTTCTTTGCTTCTGCTTTTCGGTGGTAATTAAGCTTCCTTCCCTATCTCTCATTGCTTTCATTTGCGTTAATCTCTTCCTTCCCAAATAGTAACTCGGTCATTTGAAATAGTGTTGTCAGGTCTCTCCTACCAGCAGCCTGTTCTGCTTCACTTGCCAATGCGTCGTAGAAGTATCTTTCGTCTTTGCACGCACTCTTCTTCACTTCTTTGTCCAGTGTTTAATAGGTTGTGTTCAGTTCCTCTTTTTGTTGTTCACCCCTGCACTGCGCTACACTGGTTCATCTTCTACTTCACCATCACCATCTTCCTCTTCCTGCTCTATTAGCTTCCATGTATCCATCGAGATCCATTATCGTCTTTTTTCTTCTTCCTTCTTAACACGGTTATGCCGGTTTCCTCCCACGTCTTTTTCAAGGATTTCTAGTGTTCTTCCACGCAGGTTTTCTGGGGGATGTTGTTTAATGTGTCCTATTTCTTCCTGATGTTTGACGTGAAGATGTCCATTGTAGTTTCGTCCTTCACTTTCTGTTCTGGGTGTTCAACTTGAACTGTGGCCTCTCACCAACTTCTTTGAAGGCTTTCAACTTGATTTTGAAGCCAGGTTCCTTGCACTAGATAGTGAGTGGTGTGAACCTGCATCTGCTCCTCTTCTTGACCTTGTGTCAAGTAGGCTGTGTCTCCACTTTCTTGAGATTGAGATAAAGTCGATTTGATTTTTAGTGTGTCCTGGCGTCTGGTGAAATCAATGTCGCTTTGTGAATATCCTTGTGTTTGTACACACTGCCTCCAATCACCAAATCGTTGAATGCGCAGAAGTCGGCAAAGGGTTCTCCATTTTCGTTCATTTCACAGCGTGCTTCTTGACGCATGATGAGTTTTTTTCTTGTGTTATCCGCTCACAGTTTGGTATTCATGTCACCCATTATAATTATGATGTTGCCAACTAGAGTCTTGTTCAGTACTGATTCCACTGTACCACATTCAAAATAACCATCGCAGTCATGATTCGATATTACTCGGAGACCAACCACAAAATATATGATTCTGTGAAAATTAAAATACACAAACAAATCAGCCAAAATAGACAATACAATAATTATCATTTTGACTATCTGAGATAGCCGTGGTTTGGCAAACTAGTATTGATACTGACTGATATCAGACAGGAAACCCGGTGGTCATTGGTTAAAATCTGGCCGCGGTTCAAACTTTTATTTCATCTACCACCTACTATTTTAATCATAATTATCAGAAGTAGTTTTAATAATGAAAGTGAGATATTTCCACCATAAAATATTCAACTAATATGTATATTTTGATATGAACTAGTGTGAACAATAGTTAGACGTAATACATTATTTAAATTACAATTGTGATCCAATCGATTACTGTTTGATAGCTAACAACCTAACTATAAGTATTTGACCTTACAATTAGCTTATTGTTTACTTTATAATTAAAAAGGTGATACCATCTAGACTTTATTCAAGTTACTTATCAACTAACCATGAATTGGCTGGATGATCTAACCTACAATGCAGTTATTCAAATCGGTTGAAGACAGTAAAATTCTTCAATTAATTTGAAGTCAGTATTCATCATGGACTGATATAAAGTGGTGAAACACTGAGAACCTGGGAGCACTGGATAACTGTTTCGTTCCACTATGGGCCTCATCAAGAGAGTGCACCCACAAACCCAAGAACTTCAGATTCCCTCGATCAATCTATCGCAATTATTCGAATTAAATACTATATTTTTAATGCACTTCACTTCCCAGTTATATCATACACACAACAGTCCTTTAAGAAATCAGTAAAATCTGGGGACAAAGTAAACACACTTTGACACTGAATAAAAAAACTTGTATTTCTTTTTTGAAGGCTTATCATTAAAAAGCAGTGTCATATCGAATTCCAATACTAGTTTAAAAGTGAAATGAAAAGAAAAAGAACAACAAATAAAACGAATTTATGACCAAAAAAAACAACAACAAATATTTGTTTTAAGAGACTATACACATATATGAATGGCATCTTATACTGTATGTAGTTTGTATACATCTAAGACAGAGCAGAAACTTAAACATATGACTTGGATAGCACCCAATCTAACCACCTACCTATCTAGTCACCTACAGACACTTAGATATGTGTAGACAGAAATGAAGAAAAAGAGTTGGTTACACTACCTAGTAATCTCTAACCTAGTTAACCAATGTTCAACTACCATTACCTATCTAGTGTGACAATAAAAATACACGCGACAGTAGACGGTAGAAAAAGGCAACACTGAAGAAATAATCAATGTAAATAATAAAAAGGAAATAATACATTCAAAAGAAAAATTTTGATGATAAAAGAAACTATTTAACGGTGAAAAATAAAATAAGGTAAAGGATGTATACAAGTTATGAAACTTAAGTCATGATGTGTTAAACTAACCAACTGAATAATGAATGAGAATAATTCCAGATCTTAGTGATTGATTAACACAATAGTTAATGAATTCATATAAACAATTGACGTTTACATGTATGTTGCATACTACTGATAAGGTGAATAATCGAATAAACATTCATCTATACTAACCTGGTGTAACAGAGCGCCTGAACGAAGAATAATTAATCTGTAAATAAATTATCATATAAAAATAGATAGATACAATTAAATTGCTATAAACTAATCCTATAATGAACAAATTTTCCAGTAATACTCCAAATACTAAACTGTTATATATATTAAACTTAGGAAGAAAAACTATTCGATGCAAAAACTTTCATGAAAATTAATTTATAAAGGCTGAAATTATATTTTTCAGTATTCAGTTGTGGTTTTATCATATTTATCGGTGAACTCTAAGAAGGTGTCTGAAACCGGGTTTTTTTTACAACTTTTGAACTAACTAAGTGATTGAAATCCCGATAGAATCGGGGTTGAAGCATATATATAGGTGTAATTTAATACGTAAATTCTTGTACTTAACAAAGAAATACAACTTTTGTGTAAGAACTGATGGTATTATGCAGCATTTCGGTATGTAGTTACTTGATATAAGTGAAAAACTTGGGCACTGTGGTAGAATGTAGTTCCATATTAGATTTGTTTATTTGATATAAAGCGCACAGTGATACAGTATTATTTACTTGATTACGTTTCGAGCATAAATTATTGCTCATAATCATATCAATGTAATCACACTTCTTTCGACATCTGATTTTATAGTCCTGTCACCTGATCTCTCTTTGTTTTTTTGTTTTTTGATTGGTAGTAAAGTTTTCCATATCTCTGGTATACCAGAGATATGGAGATATGGTTGAAATCGATAGACAGGAAACCTTAGACGTAGGCTGTATACTCCTTGGGACTCTGTAGCATGTAAACAATCTAGCTTGATGGTCATATTACAGATGATCGATAGAATTCTGTTATTACTCAGAGCTAGACAATAACAAATTGTAGACCGAAGTCCGAGCGCTTAACCCACCGGTTGTAAGTGAACTGCAGAAATCAGTGATTCAAAGCTTTTCTGAAGTTTGCAATATCCTATCATTTGAACATAAACCTATGACTAATAAATTCACTTATGTCGTAAATATAATAATGTGTACTCACTAGTACACGAATTTAGTTTTAAACAATGTGATATGCAGATCATCATATCTGTTCATTAGTGCTGTATAATAGTACACTGTTTTTGTAGTAAGCCAAGAGAGCTTAGGCAAATATGACGAATCAGCTGATCATATTTCGTTCATCTATCAACTTAGATTTCAGTAAGCTGTGATGAGCATTTTGCAGTAAATTGCGCCGATTATATTTCAAGGAATTACATTACCAAAGTGCTTAAAGACGAAACCTGACATGTAACTGTAAAGCTGACTACTATGGATTAGTGTCACAAGGAAAATATAATCTTCTTGAGTGAGTCTCATGGACAAACAAAAGCTGACAGTTAGACACCCTGGACGGTTGATACAGCCTAAAACTCATCATCAAAATAATGGAATCTGTTCCTTAATTTCCCCTAAATACTAAGTGTTATAAATACAGATAGACATTCCAAGTATTTTTGGTCACTAGACTTAGTCTCGTATCTGAGAATGATGGTTAAAGTTGACCTAGAGACCCACTTTGGAACAGGACTGAAAACATTGGGATTAATCAAGAAGTTATAATCTCTTTTGTTACCTAATACTGGTTAAGCAAACAAGTTTGTTGTAAAGCGTGATAATAAAGATAACAACTGCTTGTTTATCATTTTAACCTTGACATATTTGTGGAATGAAGTTTCATATAGTTCCCATCTTCCTGACATTATGTATACAACTTTATGAAAACCTCAAAAAGTAGCATTATTTAAATGCATATGCATTTCGGCTTACTACAGTCTTGAAAGTTTACAGTTGCACCACCATCTGAATTGAGTAACTTCCCCAAAGTAATTCAACCTAATAATTATATTCATTACCCGTATATAGTGTCAAATAAAATACACTATTCGTGTGCTTATGGAAGGCAAACTAAGAAATGTATAAAAATAACCATCAGACCTGAAATAAATACAGTGCTGTTAAGGTGATGGAGGTTTTTAACCAAAGGTGAGGATGATAATTCTTTCCTGTTTTATGAGGTTTGTTCTTAGCTGTTTCATCAACAAGATAGACGACTTTATCAGTATTTACTTCACAAAGATATGCTGCGTTTACAATAGTAGAATAACAACAGAGTGATGAAATTGAACTGAAGTGACTAAACCAACTGAAGTTAATCCGTGGGATAGAAATTTTTAAGATAGAAGACAACGTCTATCTTGGTTCAGTTTTCTGAAGGACAATGTCGAAGGCAGGTGCATCTGGCTGATGAGGCCCAAATAGGACAAAACGCGAGTCCTGGATTCCACTGCTAGCCACTATTTATCAATAATATATAAACGCAAAAGCTTGCATGACATAATACCATATGTCTAAAACAGCTTAAGGATTGATTCAAAAAAGGTTTCACCTCGATGAAATAAGCTTTTACAAATGACTAACACCTACTAGGAGTTAATTCTTTTTCACTCGAAATAAAGGGTAACACTCAAATGAATGTATGATGTATCGACATGACATGTATCCTGAAGAGAAAAACCCTACAAGTTTATTTAGAACAATAGGTTTTTGATACAAATGAATGCTAGTCACACGTCATGGTCAAACTGATAAAATAATAGTGACTGACACCTGATTATGCATGAGTTAGGTTTCGCAAAGCAATCAGTGAGGCTTCAGGGTTACCATACAGAGGTCACTAGTTTAAATACCGCAATGAATAAAATATTCCTTCAAATTCTGTCATCTTCATTTCTAATTAATATTCGCCTTCCAACTGCATAACTGCACTTAAACGTTTGTCATTTCAACCCGTTGAAGAAACATGGGTGTATAGGCGTGAGTCAGAAATTCTCTGTAAGTTGATATGTACGTCTTGAAAGACCTTATTTTAGAAGGCATAAAAAAGGAAATTCATAACATAAAAACCCACTTTGTTTGTTGAATTCGTTTGCCTTGATAACCCATCTGTTGAAAAAAGTAACGAAAACACAGTGAGAGAAAACAATCTGTTCAACCGTTCAGAATAACTTAACTTGGAAATCCTTATTAAAGCATGATATTTATTTGTAAAACAAGTGCTTTGGTAGATTAACTTTTAATACTGTCATTATTTAAAACAGCAGTGTCAGTTAGGTACTGAACGTTAAATAATTACACTATTATTTGTCCTTTGGGTTCCTAGCGGAACATAGGGTTTCAGTAGTACGTCTCCATTTCACTGCCTTCTGTGCAGTCTTTTCAGCCTGTCTCCAAGACTGTCCATAATCTTTCATTACCTCCTCACACCATCTCCTCCATATCATCATCCGACGCCCAACTCGTCGCTTTACCTCTGGCTTCCACTCTACGGCTTGGCCTGGCCTGACGCGTGGCGTCCCCATACGGTCTTATCAGTGTATGCCCGACCCATCTCCACTTTCTTCGGCATATTTATTAGGTGGTGAGTTCTTGCTTCTCTGGTTCGTTACCAGCCAGAGTTCCTTGTTGCTTATTCCTTCTAGCCATTTGGTCTTCCTGAACGTGAAAAAGGTATTATAAAATCATGTGAAAAATCTTCACTTTGAATATGAGTGAAATGCCATTACAATATTTTGCCATGGTACAATAAACATCTCAGCTACGATAGGTTAGACTCAGCGCTTGACACCTTAGCCACAGCCTTGACACAATGTTTGCTTTATTTGGTTATTATATGAATATAAATGGCTGTTGGGTTGCAAAAATATAAGAAACATTTGAAACAGACTTTTGACAGAATGATAATTTTGTTGTAGGCCGATTGCCAAGTGATGCATATTAGTTACATGCCAAAATAATTCTCTTGATTGAAAATTCGTTATATAAAAATCACTTGATGCCCATCATGATGATAATGACTTGGATACAGTAAAAAATCATTACAACACAATATCATATCAACGTAAAATAAATCTAATGACTGACAACCGTCTGCTATGGATATCTGTGCTCACAGAAAAAGATATATACGTATAGGACCCTGTGTATCGAAAACTCACTTTATCCAGATAATACCAGCACTTAGGTAGTCCATTCTCGATATGATACAAATGCGTCCAGACAAAAAACTATCAAATAAGACTGAATACACCAGTAGTGGAAATACATCAAACTTTAGGGCAGTTAAAGAAACAGGAGTATAATATGAAGTTGTCGCAAGCTGTTAAACATCCACAGTTACTTATTTAACCGTATATTTCTATCTAGCAAGTGTTCACTCTAGGTTTCCAACAATACAAATAAAAAGGAGGAATTGTCCTCGAAATCTATATATAGATAACTTTATTTTGGAGGGGTTTACTGAAGTAATGCCATAAGATAAGCCTTAACGTCATACAAACTATTGCACCATAATCTCAAGAGAGGTTTGATAACTGGTTGAAAGATTCAGGGTTGCTTCATCCATTCAGAAAAATAATTCACACACGTTAAGTCTACTCCGTATTCGCTTGAAGTACTACAAAACTTCTCTAGTGAGCAACTTTGGAAGCGGTTAGTGATAAAATAAAACATATCAGTAAAACATTACGCTACTGAAACCATCAAAGTCGGAATCGTCTTCACGATCCAATTACCGAGTTACTCTGACAAGCATCTACAATTGTCACACAGTTGATACCATCGAAAGGTTTAAATATCCAGTCTTCTAGAAGACGTAATTTAGTTATGTATTCCGATGACAGTCACGCACTTCATTCTTTAAATCAATTCCTTAGCAGTAGTACACGAAAGTCCTTGCGGGAAATAAAAATGGAAACTACTTGCTCACTTAAGCCTACCTAAGTTTCTGCAAATCCACTCAGCACAAAAGTGAACATATAAGCTTTCAGTGATATGTAGACAGAGGACACTTCTATTCAAACTGAATTTCTTGCACTCTAGTAGACCATTCGTCTAACATTAACTTGACATTTACTCCCTTTGACTGATATATAATTCGTACATCAATTGCAGTAAAGCAAACAACGTGGACATAAACCCGGATCTATTAAATACGACCGAAGTATCTGATGTGCCATCCAGCATCTTCCGTTAGTATAATTTTAGTAGTAAGCATTTTACGGGCTTCAGCTGCATCATCCTGCAGAGACCGAAAATTCCACTACATTCAAACTTATCAATAAAAAAGGCTGGCTGGATTCAAGAAAAACGAATTGTGTGCAGATCAAATCCAAACGCTACACTACGCATCATCACAGAACAGAGTATAGAATGGCAGTCAACTGGATCTTTATCTCAACTTCATCTACTCTGGAAGGCCTTCGATAGTGTCGACTGAAAGGGGAATTTGGCAGACAGCTGCTCCAGTAATACGCTTTCAGTGCCACAAATCTTTATCAACCCCATTCAACGGCTTTATGCTACATGCTACATGTCAAGTGATTCACAACGGAAAGCTCAGTAACTCCTTCGGAAGGAAGACAGGGAACAGGAATAAGACAAGATTGCCTACTGTCACCGAGGATGTTTCCGATTGTTGTAGACTAGATTATGCAACAAACTGTGAGGGGTGACAAGATAGCACACGCTGTTTGACCGATGAGAAACCCTACACGATTTGGACTTCACCGCCGATGACAATTTATGTCTAATGTCGCACAAACTCGAAGATCTACAGATGAAAACTAACAAGTTGACAGAAGAGGTGAGGCGAGGCAGGGCAGGGATGCGAAGGAAGACGGGACTTCCTTCTGGTGAACGTAGAAAAGTCAGAGGTGATAAAGCTGCCCGACCACCACCAACAACAACAACAAAAACAAGCACCAATCACCATCAGAGGGAGAAATCTAAATGAAGTTGTCCCTTCCACCTACCTACCTACCTACCTACCTAACCAGACAGTATCGTCTCAACTACAGGTGACACAGGCACACATGACGACGTCAAAGCCAAGATCGGAAAGACATCAAAACACGCCTTCCTTCATGAATCTGAAATAATCAATGTAGGTGGAGATCTACTGCACTGCACTCCACTCCACTCAGCATCAAGCATGAACAACATCCGGATTTTCAACACTAATTCACTTAAGTTAAGTGAGTCAGTGGTTCTATGTGATGGTTGAGAGACTTGGTGCGTTACGAAAAGCATTCCCAACAAACTGCAGACATACATCATCAACAGCTGCCATCTACACTCACTCGACAGTGAAGATCAGATGGCCAGAAAGAACAAGGAAGGAGAAACTGTGGCTGGCTGGCAGGCTGGCTGGCAACGAACCAACGAAGCGACATCCTACCTCCTAACAAATATGCAGAAGGAGAAGTTGGAGATGAATTGGATCGGACATAGACTGAGAAGACCTTTGACCGTCATCACGTGCCAGGCGTAAATGGGAATGGACGAGCTGGGTGTGCGAGGGTGACATGGAGGAGATGGTGTGAGGAAGAAATGAAAGGCCAAGGGCAGTCTTGGAGCCAGGTTAGAAAGGATGTAGATAAGAGAGTGAAATGGCGACGTGCTACTAAATCCCTATGTTGCACTAGGAACCCAGAGGACAAATAGTAGTAGTAGTAATAATAATAATAATAATAATAATAATAATGTGACCTACGTTCTGAAGAAACTTGAAAAATTTAATTAAAATGTGTATATCTAAGTATAAATGAGATCAGTTTCATGAGGAACGGCGATTTTCTTTTTCATCACCTTACACAAACTTGAGAAAAAATCGCACTTAGATGATGTTTAAGTGTACTTAATACTTGATAGAAAGTAACACTAATTGAAAACCTTGTCACCTTTTGGTAAATCTAACGGTATAACTTCAACATCATTTTATAAAAACAGCTAGTTTTTAGTTGTTGCAAATGTCCTGGAAGATATAAACCTTATATTAGGACTTACTTATATACTAACTTCACATCGCTAACTGGATAGTTCCATCTAGTCCATCTCTTGAAATAACTACTAATGAGTACCTGAAGCATTTCCAAGTTGTCTACTCCTAACAGTCATGCACTGAAAAAAACGAGAATGCTGTTTCTTAAACTTATTTCTAGACAACTTATTCGCCTACACTAAAGATTATGTAACATAACAATTTTAAGTCAATCTTTTTCATTTGTGTCATAAAACATGTGGATAACTAAAGAGAACATCGTCAAAATGAAGGAGATACAATTCAAAGTGAAACTCTGTGCAACAAAACAGAGAAATTCCAATTGTGATAATGAAACAGTAAAATAAGTTTTGATATAAGCAAGAAATTTCATCTTAAAATAAGCCCATTTTCAGACAATTAAACAAATGTGACAAGCGTTTAGAAGTTAATTTTAAACTATGGTAATTTACGGAATTGTGTGGCCAGCAAGAGAACCCAGAACGCCTGTTTCGCCCAATTTGGGACTCGTCAGGCGGACCCACCTGCATCTCAGTGAGTGATGTTGTCCCCACTGAGACTCGAACCACGTACCTATCCCTCCAAACATCACAGCATTATCCACTGGGCCACTGAAGCACACTAGCCACCTATTTTACAACAGGTATTAGTCATAACTTCCTATTGTTGTTGATGTGCTTGCAGTTCTCCGTTGTTTTGCTGGATCGAATTGTTCGACCTCTGTTAAAATCACCAACTTCACCAAAGAACTATTAAGTCATGAATAACCCGCTGTAGGAGCTGAAAGTTGTGATTCGTTACCCGACTGGTTCACATAATATAATCCTAAAGGTGGTCAGTTATAGCCTGAATTGTATTTTGATAATGCCTCAAAGTTCAGTTATAAATGCTCCAGGTTCGAACCATAGGGGTTATGCCAATTTCCCTATGATTGCATATAAACCTGATTAATTAAAGTTTTTAAGCATATAACTTTAGACTCAGAGCTTCCTGTTGCTTGACACTTGACATCTAATATCAAAATTCAGCTCATCACATGGTGTTGTGTTATTTAGTTTCGGGTCAAAACTGAAAACAGAGATCGATATTCCTCTATTAGCACTGA